GGATATGGCCCGCAAGTTCCAAAAGGCTCAGCAGTGCATCGCTGAAGGCTGGAGCTGTAAAGTGACGATCCACCCTGGATTTGCTAAGTGATTTTTCTTCTTTTCTCCGGGAAGATGTTTGGTTTTTGTGCACCAAACCTCAGAAAATCCAGGGAAGGTCCCCCATTTTCACTGCTTTCAACATGGTGATTTTCCCATGAAAAAAAACCCACCGGAACCATCACATCTCGTTTTGCGTTGCGCGCCATGGCGCCCCGTTGCCTAACCGCCATGGCGGATGCCATGGAGCCACGGCGATGCCAGGTGGACAGGCGATGCCATGGAAACCAAAAGATGCCATCGCACAGTCGGATCGACATATTTTTGGAATGTGAACTTCATGGGAATTTTGAGTGGGAACATTGGAACAAAAAAAGTGTGTATCATGATACAAATTGGGATAGAATCCAAATCATTAGTCAATCAATGGCAGATATCCCAATTTAGCCACTACGACAGGTGGAGATGGGATCCACAGGAATGGAGGCGCACTGGATCGAACAACACGCGCTTCCAATGATATCTGCGTATGAATATACTACATGGAGTGTATGAATGTATAGTTCATTTCTTATTATATACATACGCAATACATACGTAATACATACGTGTAATACATACGTGTAATACATACGTAATACATACGTAATACATACGTAATAGATACATGTAATACATACGTGTAATACATACGTGTAATACATACGTAATACATACGTAATACATACGTGTAATACATACGTAATACATACGTAATACATACGTAATACATACGTAATACATACGTAATACATACGTAATACATACGTAATACATACGTAATACATACGTAATACATACGTAATACATACGTAATACATACGTAATACATACGTAATATATACGTAATACATACGTAATACATACGTAATACATACGTAATACATACGTAATACATACGTAATACATACGTAATACATACGTAATACATACGTAATACATACGTAATACATACGTAATACATACGTAATGCATACATACATACATACATACATACAGACACATACAGACATATACATACACATACATACACATACATACACATACATGCACATACATGCACATAGATACACATAGATACACATAGATACACATAGATACACATAGATACACATAGATGCACATAGATGCACATAGATACACATAGATACACATAGATACACATAGATACACATAGATACACATAGATACACATAGATACACATAGATACACATAGATACACATAGATATACATAGATATACATAGATACACATACAAGCACATACAAACACATACCAACACAGACATACACAGACATACACATACATACACATACATACAAATACATATTCAGACATACACATACATACACATACATACACATACATACACAGACATACACAGACATACATATACATACACAGACATACACAGACATACACAAACATACACAGACATACACATACATACACATACAGACACATACAGACATATACATACACATACATACACATACATACACATACATACACATACATACACATACATACACATACATACACATACATACATACATACATACATACACACACATACATGCACACACATACATGCACAGACATACATACATACACATACATGCATAGACATACAGACATGCATAGACATACATACATACACATACATACACATACATATACATATACATACATACACTTACATACACATACATACACATTCATACACATACATACACATACATACACATAGATACGCATAGATACGCATAGATACACATACATACACATAGATACACATAGATACACATAGATACACATAGATACAGATAGATACACATACATACACATAGATACACATAGATACACATACATACACATACATACACATACATACATATACATACATATACATACATATACATACACATACATACACATACATACACATACATGCACATACATGCACATAGATACACATAGATACACATAGATACACATAGATACACACAGATACACATAGATGCACATAGATGCACATAGATACACATAGATACACATAGATACACATAGATACACATAGATACACACAGATACACATAGATACACATAGATACGCATACATACACATACATACACATACATACACATACATACACATACATACATATACATACATATACATACATATACATACATATACATACATATACATACATATACATGCATATACATACATATACATACATATACATACATATACATACATATACATACATATACATACATATACATACATACACATACATACATACATACATACACATACATACATACATAAATACATACATATACATACATATACATACATATACATACATACATACATACATATACATACATATACATACATATACATACATATACATACATATACATACATATACATACATATACACATACATATACATACATATACATACATATACATACATATACATACATACATATACATACATATACATACATATACATACATATACATACATATACATACATATATACATATACATACATATACATACATATACATACATATACATACATATACATACATATACATAAATATACATACATATACATACATATACATACATATACATACATATACATACATATACATACATATACATACATATACATACATATACATACATATACATACATATACATACATATACATACATATACATACATATACATACATATACATATACATACATATACATACATATACATACATACATACATACATACACATACATACACATACATACACATACATACACATACATACATACATACATACATACACATACATACATACATACATACATACACATACATACATACATACACATACATACACATACATACACATACATACACATACATACACATACATACACATACATACACATACATACACATACATACATACATACATACATACATACACATCCATACACATACATACACATACATACACATACATACACATACATACACATACATACACATACATATACATACATACACATACATACACATAGATACACATACGTACACATACATACACATACATACACATACATACACATACATGCACATACATACACATACATACACATACATACATATACATACATATGCATAGATATACATACATATACATACATATACATACATATACATACATATACATACATATACATACATAAACATACATATACATACTATACATACATATAAATACATATACATACATATACATACATATACATACATATACATACATATACATACATATACATACATATACATACATATACGTACATATACGTACATTTACATATTTACGTGTATATTCTATATATATATATGCAACGCCTGAATATTAAAATCCCACCACCGTTCAAGGTTACATACATTCGATTGGGAAGATCAACAAAGTTATCAGGGAATATTAAAGTCTCACCACCGTTAAACTTTACATTCATTAAAGATCTTCAATAAGGGTTTAATTCTCCCACCTCCGTTCAACTTCTACATTCATTGAAGATCTTCAATAAGGGCTTAATGATGATGATGATGGTGATGATGGTGATGATGATGATGATGGTGATGATGAGATGATGATGAGATGATTTTGATGATGATGGTGATGATGATGATGATGATGAGTTGCCTGTCGTGGTTGCGGTTCCAGGCAAAGCCCAGGCATTGCCGTTTATATATATATATGTACAGATAAACGTTACAGATGCATCATAGGATGTATGTATTCATCTTAGCATGTATTCGTATGTGTATAATTGTATGTATGTGAATATATATATATTAGCTTTTTTTGAAGCCTCGTAAACAATGCTTTTAAAGCTCCAAGAGACGCGGTGAACGTAGGGGGTACGAGTGGCTAACGGACGTGGTAACGAACGTAAGGCGAACGAGTGAACGGACGAGTGCACGTGTGAGCGAACGAGTGAACGGACGTGTGCGTACAAGTGGACGGACGTGTGCGCGTACATGCGCGCGTTTGCACGTTCACTGGCCGCGTGCGCGCGCACGTACGAAAATAAGGTCGACTGGAGTCGACCTTATTTCTGTACGTGCAAAGCGCTACAATACTAAATCAATACTAAAGAGGCAGGGTCGTGCAAAAATAAGGTCGACTCAAGTCGACCTTATTTTCGTACGTGCGCGCGGGCGCGTGGCGAGTGACCGTGCAAACGCACGGACGTACGCTCACACGTTCGCTCGCACGTACGCTCACTCGTACATACATACGTTCGCACGTACGTTCACTCGCACGCATGTCGTTCACACACACGTTCATACCCCCGTTCATGTCACTCGTCACTACACGTACGCTAGCTAACAAAAATATTTTTACGAGACTTAAAAAAAAGCTAATATATATACATGTATATACACATGAAAGATACTTGGGCATGCAACAACGATTCGGGCATAGACTCATACATTGCATGTCACACTTGAATGCTAAAGATGTTGTGACCCTCGTTAGCTTCATTTTGACAGATCGGGAGGCAAAGACTTCAACATTTTTGCCAGTAGACCTGTGAAAATGGATCCATCCGACTCTCAGCATTTAAATCATTCCGATACGCGTCAGTAATATCAATCCCGCATCAATCCTGACAGTTAATTGGGGGACCTCCAAAATTGTTTTCTAAAGTATGAACCATCCACCTCTAATCAGGTTTTTAGCACTTCATAGAGGTTTTTTTGAACATCCACTGGGGGACTACCTCCAAACACTACCTCCAATTTTTCCAAAGTATGAACCAATGGAGGCCACCTCAATTATTCCAAATGGAGGCCAGACTTGCGGCTCTCGAAAATGGCCAGCGCATTTCCGGAGCTGCCCAGAATTCAAGGACGACGAGGCTCAGAAAACATGTCGTAGTTTCACCTGAGAAAACATGGGGATATGTGTAAATAAATGGATATATATATATATATATGGGAAAACGCCCCCGGTTTTAAAGAAGAACGGGGTTAACCTTTGATGCACTGTAGCCTTGGCTTCAGCGTGTGATGGGAGAGCCTGGTGTGAAAGCCTGGCTCTCCTGTGCGTGTGCCGCCTGTGTGAGCTGGCGGCGGCTGGGGTCTTTGCTAGGCCCGTGCCACCAAGAGGCCGGGCTCCTGAAGTACGCTGTTGGACTTTTCAGGTTCGTGGCAGCGGACCTTGAGGAGTTCCAAGAGCGCGTGTTCCCAGGCATATCACTAGGAGGTGACTTGGGTGAGGGAAACAGCAAAAAGAGCGCATCAGAGGAGGAGACCCCTAGCCCAGAGGAGGAGGAGAGACCAAAGAAGAAAGAGAAGCCCAGGTCAGGAGAGGCCAAGCCCAAAGAGTCCAGGAAGAGAAAGAAAGGATCTGAGGAGCCCCAGAAGAATGAAAAGAAGAGACGCCGTCATAGGAGCCCCAGACAGTCCTCAGAGAGGTCTGAGTCAAAGCCCAGGCCAAAGAACCCCGGGGGAGCAGCTTCAGGAAGCCGTCCAGCCAAAAGCAAGAGGATCAAGGAGGAGCCTAGTGAGACCGTTTTGGACAAGTCCCCTTTGCAATCAGTGGTGGGAGAAGTATCTCCCGGTGAGAGTGAGGTAGAAGCCGCTGAGGAAGACAGGCGCAGACCTGCCCGTGCCGCGCCGCCCGAGGTCGGAGTGAGGACCTCCAGACCTAGGCCTGAGGAAGAGAGAAGTCCTGTGAGGAGAGTGAGGTCGAGGAGCCTTTCGAGAGACCAGCCAATAAGGCCTCCGGGGCGGTGGACTCTCTCTGAAAGGCCGCCAGAGCCGGCCTGTCCTCCACGCCTTTTCAGGCCTCCGGAGCCGCCAGCCCCCCCCCCAGGGTGGGTGCGGCGATCTGGCCCGGTCCCGTCTTCGAGATCGAAGGGTGCAACTCGAAGAGAGCGGAACGCTGATATCTTTCTTTTCGGGCCTTCCATAGAAAGGAAGAGACAGAGAGAGCAGAGGAGGAGCGGATGATTCGTCGCCCCGCTGCAGCAGTGGGTGTTGGCAGACGACCAGCAGCCAACGTCCGAGGGCGAAGGAGACCATCAGCTGTAGGCGAGGGAGACGAGACTCCCGAGAGGAGAGAAGGTGAGGAAGGTGAAGGCATCTTGGGGCAGTATCGAAGCGGAGCACTTGTGGAAGCGGTGAAGGTTCCGCCAGGTAGTTTCAGAAAGGGGGACTGGTTGGTGGTGCCTGAAGGGACATACTACCAACAGACCGTTGCACTTGCCCTACGGGTCGAAAAGGAGGAGTTGGAAGAAGGTGAGAGGGAAGTGATTGGCGAATTGACGGGCACCAAGTCCGAGGAGCTTTTGAAATTTGGGACAGCTCAACGTCCTTGTCGACTGAGGCTTCATCTTTGTCTTGCAGGATGCCCCCAACTGCGAGAAAATCCGGACTTGGTGCATGTCAGGAAGCTGAAAAAGATCAGAGGAGAGGATCAGAAAACGTGGGAGATGAACCTTCAGGAAGAGAAGGGGACACATCTCCTGCAAGCAGACGAGGCCGAGTGGCGACGTCGAGGAGAAGAGGCAAAGAAGAAGGGAGAAGAAAGGGGAGGATCGACCTCATCTCAGAGTCGGCGGAAGAAAAGAAAGAAGAAGAAAAAGAAGGGCAAGAAGAGAGAGAGAGACGAGAAGGGAGACCAGAGATCTCCCGCAAAGGTGAGGTTAGGCGGCAAGACAGTGGCCAAGAAGACGCTGAGGGCGCTCTACGAAGGCACAGGGCTGGATCCGAGTGTGGGCCACCGGAAGAAGGTGATCAAGCGGGTCAGAAAAGCCCTGAAGAAGACCAAGGACTCCTCGAGTTCGGCGACGTCTTCATCGTCGACAAGCTCTACAGACATGGAGGGAGACACTTTGCTGTCCGATCGCAGCAAGGTGCATCGGATCGCGACGTTGGGGCCGGGAATCCTGGCGTCGCAGAGTGTCAACCAGATGAAACAGTTCCTGACCCAAATCACAGGGTCAGGTTGGGAGGAGGACAGCAATTCTCTACCGCCCATCTTGGGCTTGTACAACCGTACTTACATGAGCAGCCGTCTGACAGGAGGAGTGGCCCGAGAGTTCACCACTCTGGCGTGGGTGGGGGACTTACTCCTCCAGGCCAGGCCGGCCGAAGCCCTGGACTCAGTGTGCCAGCGGATGAAATCGATAGAAATGACATCCAATGGCACTGCTTGGAGTACCTCCCAGAAACTGGAACTGGTTCCTCCGGCCGACGCGACGATGGCGTCCCGGCAGGAGGCCCAAATAGCCAAGAAAGAAGCCAAGCTCGACCAGGAGACCAAAGGTGGGATGACCTTGAGCGAGAAGGGTCGCCCGAAAGGAAGAGACAAAGGCGGCAAAGGGAAGGAGAAAGGCAAGGGCAAAGCAAAGGAGAACGAAGGGAAAAAGAGCTCCTGAGCGAAGGAGCACAGAAGGAGAGGATCAGGTATGAGACCCCCAGGGGGGTAGAGGAGGTTGAGAAGAATTCAGACTTTTTACAGAAAGGTGAAGAAATAGAGCAGAAAGTGCCTTTGCCTGAGGAGACCGTAAAGGGAAGAAGTAAGAAAGAATCAGAGGAGTGTGGTCTGAGGAGATTAGATGCCGTAAGGGCAAAAGAACAGAAGAAAGCAGGAGACAAGAAGAAGAGAGAGAAGAGGGTGGGAGTAGGATGCTCCCGCAATGGTAAGGCTAGAGCAGGACGAGGCAAAGCGGTACAAAAGATGAAATCAAAGAAGCTTCACCCGGGACAAGGACTTCTGAGAGGCTTGGATGGGCGTTTGAGTGAGAGTGGGCTAGGTCGTAATATTTCCGAGGGAGAGCCCTGTCTCCCGCATGTACAGGGTTCTTCACCTGTGGTAGCTGCCACTAGCACAGGATTTTTTCACAGCACAGAAGGTCCGAATGGGCCGGATCGTTCTGAAGACCCAGGCTTGGGCCGGGTTCAAGACGGAAAAGACTGGGATTGTGCGGTTTTGGAGGCAGGGGAAGGGTTGGAAAGTATTGTAGGCTGGCTCGATGGTAAGTTGGACGTGTTTCTAGATAGGCCCTGCAAGACCCCGACCACGGGCAGGCTTTTTCCCCTGCCCTCGTCCACTTGCCTGTTGAGTCAGCTCTTCCCTCAAAATTCCCCTGCTGAAAGGTTGTTGTTGCGGGTTTTGGTTTGGTCGTTGAATTCGTTGAATGGTGAAGGTATGGATGAAAGTGAGGCGGCTTCAGAATACCAGCGGACTGTTTTGACAGGTCTGATGAAAGATTGCGAGCGTGTTTCACACTGGAAGCTTGTAGGCAAAGCCCCAAGTTGGCCAGAGCTTTTTAGAGTAAAGGGAGTAGATTATAAAGGAGAAGAAATTTTGACAGCACAAACCATGACCTGGAGCAATGTTGCTCCTGCATTGCCTCCTGAAGTAGGGAGTGTGCCGTTAGAGGATGTCGTGGAGTTGGGGAGTAAACACTATGTCCAACATTTTGAAGACTACCTCCTGGAGCCGGAGGATCAAGTGTTACCCCGGGCCCCCAAAGTAATGGTCCCTCCTGACAATTGGAGCGAGTTTTGTGGAGAACTCCTGAATAGGGGGGTCTTTTCGCGAGTTCATGAGGACGACATCTACAAAGTAGGTGGGCGTCCTCTGCTTAACGGTTTGTTTGGAGTAAGCAAAAATGAATTTGAGGGGAGTACAGAGGTCATGAGGATCATAATGAACTTGATCCCCCTCAATGGAGTGGTAAGGGGATTTGATGGGGACATCAGTACCCTGCCGTCGTGGGCAGGGATGTCCCCTCTACACCTTCAGCCTCACGAGGATTTGCTTGTTTCAAGCGAAGATGTGAGAGCGTTCTTTTACATCTTCCGAGTGCCATTGTCATGGCACCGGTTTCTAGCTTTCAACCGTCCTCTTCCTCCTGAACTCTGCAGAGAGCGAGCTGGGAGGTGGTATCCCTGCAGTGCAGTTCTCCCGATGGGTTTCAAAAATTCAGTGTCCTTGGCACAACATGTACATAGGTTTGTGCTAAAGCAGGCTTTAGGTCGTGTAGGTCAGCAGGGTGGCGAAGCTGAACTGCGGAAGGACAGGCCTTTTTCGGTTTCAAACCCTCTGTACAGAATCTACCTGGACAACTTTGATGAGTTGGAGCGTGTGGCAAAGGGTTTGGCTTCAACAATTGAAGGAAAGCCTTCACCACTGATTCAGGGGTTGCAGGAAGTGTATTCTAGTATGGGGATCCCTCGCCATCCAAAGAAAGCCGTGGCAAGGAGTGCGGTGGCCGAGGTCCAAGGAGCCCTAGTAGACGGGCGTTTGGGAGTTGCCTACCCCAAAGTTGAGAAAGTGTTGCGCTATGCGCACCTGGCCCGCCTTCTGCTAGAATCGGGAAAGGGTAGTATGAAACAACTGCAAATTATTGGAGGTGGCTTTGTGTACATAGCGATGTTTCGTAGGCCCCTCCTGGGTAGTTTGAATCATATTTGGCAGTTCATTGTACAGTGTTCTGGCTACCCTCCCGTTGTACAGTTCTCCTTACCGCCAGAGGTGAAAAAGGAGCTCGCACAGTTCATAGGGTTACTCCCCCTGGCCTACATGGACTTCCGATCAGAAGTGTCGCCTGTGGTAACCGCGAGCGATGCATCAGAAAGCGGGGGTGGTGTTACAGCCAGTGAAGGCGTTTCACCCTTTGGAGCAATAGCAAGCTCCTGCAAGGTTCGAGGTGACGTCGTCGAGCCTGGTGAAATCACCAGTGTCTTAACCATTGGTTTATTTGATGGGATTGGAGCTCTTCGCTCAGCTGCTGATTCCCTGGGGTGGAATGTGGTAGGCCATATATGTGTAGAGAAGAATTCCGATGCCCGGAGAGTGGTTGAAAGCCACTTCCCGGGTACCATTCATGTGGCCGATGTACAG